AACATCAACCAAACCCAACTAACTAAATAAATCATTGACACGAGACTTGATTACGTCACGATTACGTCATAAACGGACAAAAGAAAAAAGACAATAATTAGCATATAAATATTTATAATTGCTGAAAAAGAGTAGGATTTTTACTGAAACTTACTTCGAGAATCGAAACGAAGGCCTTACATACGTCGTGACTGAAGTCTGTAAATGATACAGAAAACATTCTTAACCAAATTTTACACACACGCACGCACACACACACACACACACACACACACACAACTAACACACGCACGCAGACATACACAAACAAACAAGTATACATATACGCATGCATTCACACACACACACACACACATTCATTCATACCTCATACATATAGACAAATACACACACATACATACGCACACACACACATACACACATTAATACATACGCACACACGCATACTTACAAGTAAACACACACATACTTACACACACGCACACACACACAAAAACCTGATTTGAATTGGCTGTTAATTAGTGATCTCATCTGAGGCAGAGTTATTTGCTGGTCTTCAGACATAATGCTTTTCAACAGTAATTCGTGCTCGTCAACAATTTGTTGCTGTTGTTTGTTGCTGCTGTTGTTGTTGTCGCCATTTTGTTGTTGATGCTGTTGCAGTGACGTCATAGTAGACGTCAGAGATGTGTTTAGAGATGGGCTGTCTGGAGTTTCGATGTATCTGGATGGGTTTAGGGTGCGTTGTCGCTTTTGTTGATGAAGATGATGAAGATGGTGGTGAGTGAGTGGACGAATGATCGTCACAAGCATCATCATTGGCATCGTCATCATCAGTATCAGCATCATTGTTGTTGTAATCACCAAATATCTACATCATTACCATCATCACCATTATCGCAACAACATCGTCAACATCACATCGTCGTCATCATCGCCACAACAATAGCATCATCATCATCATCATCACAACAATAACATCATCATCAATCCGTATCATTATCATCATCATCATCACATTAACATCATCACCACCAGCGCAATAACAGCAACAGCAACATCATCAACATCACAACAACAACGACCAACTCGACAAAGTTCTCATCACAGTAAGTCAGGACCCTGAGGGCGAAGGAGCAGTCGAGGCCGCTGTGGTAGGTACTCGGCACGATGACGAACGATGTTGCCTGCTTCAGTAGGAAGCGTTTCGTGACGAATTTGGCATCGGAGAAGAAATCGCACTTGGCAACAAAGCGGTTCCTCTCCATGTGCTCTTTCGATAGAGGTAATCTAGTGACTTTGGTACACTGGCGGTGATGATCATGATTGCGTAGTTATGATCATGATTGCGTAGTTATGACCATGATTGCGTAGTGATGATTATGATGGTGGTGTTGATGATGATGTGGTGAAGATGCTGGTGTGGTGGTGAAGATGCCGGTGTGGTGGTGAAGATGGTTATGATAGTGCTATGTTAATGACGGTCTGTGTTTGTGATGATTGTAATGATGATGATGATTGTGATGGGGCCATCATCATCATCATCATCATCATCATTCTTATTGTTATGACTAAAACAACAACAACAACAAAATGGTAACGAAACGAAACGAAACGATACGAAACGAAAGATACCTCATAGAGAACAAACCCAATATCCTTCCTATCCTCAACACCCATCAAACTCCTATCATTATTACTATTATTATTATTATTATTATTATTATTATTATTATTATTATTATTATTATTATGACTATTATTATTATAATTATAAGAACCATAATTACATCCAAAATTATTATTATTATTATTATTACGGTTATTATTATTGATTTGTTCTAATTCGATTATGACTAGACAGATCTGGTCGGAGTCTGGCCTGTTGACTGACAGCTTGTACTGGGGGTTGGTGTGGTGGCATTCTGAATGGGGGATTGATCGAGTGATTGATTGGTTGATTGATTGATTGGTTGGTTGATTGATTGATGGATTGATTGAATGACTGGTTGATTGATTGATTGGTTGGTTGGTTGATTGATTGATCGATTGAATGATTGATTGATTGATTGATTGGTGATTGAATGATTGATTGATTGGAAATACAAAATCATAAAAACCAATCAAACCAGCCATATATAAGAAACATACCTTACCAATCAATCCAAACCAACCAAACCAAACATACCAAGCTTACTAAATCATTCAAATAAACTAATTAAACCAATCAAACCAACCAACCAAACCACCAACAAATCAACCAATCAGCCAGCCAACCAGCAAACCAATCAACCAACAAACCAACCAACCAACCAACTAACCAACCAACCAACCAACCTGTACAAATTGGCCTCCCGCCAGCATTCAAACCTCTCTGCCATCTACCCTGGAAAACAAAACTTTTCCAACTCAACTCCCCACCAGATGTCGATGATGATGATGATAACGTTGTTGTTGTCAATGATGATGATGATGATAGCTGTTTCACCATTGATGATGATGATGATGATGATGACGGGATGGTGATGATATCGATGTTGTCGAAGAGTTTGACAAAGTGCGCAAGATCCATCCTTTAAAATTGAGAGTTTAAAATTACGTTACTCAACAAATTACTTTGAAATATTATTAATAATAATAACAATAATAATAATAATAACAATTATACTACCACTAATAATAATAACCAGAATTCTGAAGAATGTTCTAGAGTCAAGCCCATACCACATTTGTCATCATCCGATAACTTTTGCCATTCTCGAGAACTGAATGGATGAATGAGTGCATGAATGAATGAATGCATGCATGAATAAATGAATGAATGCATGGATGAATGGATGGATGAAAAAAATAAAATAAACAAACGAACGATTAAATAAAAGAAAGAAAAAAGAAGAAAGAAAAGAAAAAATGAAAGAATTAACCGACCAGGTGCTCCAGGCACCTTTCCACAACTGTTTGGAACCTTTTGTAGACCAAGGGTCCTTCAATCTAACTAATGTCAAGGGCATCTCATTGTGTCCTGATACTAATTTTATCTGATGATGATGATAACGATGATGACGACGATGATGATGATGATGACGATGACGAAGTTAAGTTCGTAGTCATCATCATCGTCGTCATTAAAATAGTTATCTTGAAAGTTTTTATCTATATTACTAGAGTCATCATCATCATGGTGTCACTATCACTATCATCACAATCGTCATCATCATCACCATCATCATCACAATCACCATCATCACAATCATCATCATCATAACCTCTCTGATGTCATTGATGATGTACTGGTACCCCGTCCTCAGGCCATTACTCATCAGAGTTCCACGGCCTGATCGTTTATCCTAGAAATGAACCCATCATAATTACTATTTATAATAATAATATATAATATAATATATTAATTATTTATAATATATATTCATCATAATTACTATTGATCATAATAATTAAAAGTAAGTCATAATAATAATTCAATGAATCAAATATCAGCATACCCATATATCAATGAAGCAGCCAATCAGAGAGCTCGATTGCAGGGCACGAAAGATGCTATTGGACAGAAACGGAAGAGAGGGCGGTGCCAACTCGAGATTGAAGGATTCAACTACGCCCCCAGTTAGAATGTGTACCAGTTCTTGATATGGTGTATATGATATGAGTTCATAGGATCCTAAAAGTCTGAAAAATTCCTCATTAGTATTATTATTATTAGTAGTAGTGGTAGTATTTGTAGCAGCAGCAGCAGCAGTAGTAGTAGTAACAGTAGTAGCAGCAGCAGCAGTAGTAATAGTAGAGCAAGAGTAGTAGTAAAAGTAGCAGTATTAATAATAAAAGTAAAGTAATTGATGCAGTTTTTTTATATTTATTGATTAAAAACAAGAAGACTAACTTGGCTAATGCTTTTTCAACCAATGGAGGAAAAAAATTGACACAATTATTACTATTTTTATTGTTATTATTACTGTTATTATTTTGGAATGAAAAGCTCCTAATAAAAAGGAATTTTTTATTTCTATCGACGGGTAGACGATCATCAATGACAACCTCTTGCCACAGACCGTTGTAGTAAAAATTGAAAGAGTAGGCACCCAGAGAATCACTAATTAGAGAATTTTCTTCAGAGTTAAGCTGGCTAGGAAGGTTGTGCATGTTTTTAAAAATGTCTGGCCTGCTGATTATGGTTGCTAGGGCCCCAACTAAATCTGATGATCCTGTGATGTGTCCCAATGAAAATTTAAATTAAAAAAAAATTAAGCAAGCAATTAGCATCAATTACCATATTTTCCGTGCCCAATATCAACGACATTTTCTTCATTTAGTGCGTAAAATTCAAATTTTTTGCCGGAATTTTTAAGAATCTCGTTTGGCCTCAACCACAGGGTCCGTTCTGGTAATATTCTGAAAAACGAGATAGATTTTTCGGAAGGGATGAAATCTTCATCCTCGTATAAAATCTTTTTTTTGAAGCAATCTGCCCTCAATAAGTTTACGTGTCTGTCCATTTTTGATGAATAATTTACAGATTTAAATTAAATTTTATTTGTATTGATAAATTTTGAGTAAAAGTAAATCTAAAGTTTAATTAATAAAAAAGTGAATTTTTATAATTAATAAATTATTATTCTAGTTATATGCAGTATCTTATTGAACAAAGTAGTATCATAAAATAAATAAAGATACTTTTTTCAAAAATTCAAAAAATTCTCAATTTGATTTCATTGTGATATCGATGATGATGATGATTGTGACCTGACTAATTAAAAAAAATCGAATAAAATTTATAAAATAGGATGGGTATATCATGGAATTATATAACTCAATGGGGTATATCATTGCGAAATCGGTGGGGGGAAATGACGTCATGTTAACAGTAGTTATTTTACTGCATGGTAGTTAATAAGCCTGTATAAAGGTTTTATTCAATTCCTATCAAATAAACTTGACCAAATATCATACGCAGGCAAAACTAAATAAAGAAATAGATAGATATATATATACGCAGTTATAATACATTTCTAATGTTGTATTTACACATTCAAATTGTACAATTGTGTTTTGGTGTAGTGTTGGTTGTGTTATGGTGGCAAAGTCAATATTTCCCTATATGTACAGCAAGGAGCACTGATGATGATTCATTCGGAATCAAAATATGGCTTTATTTGCAGCATGAATTCGAAAAATAAGTTTATTTTAAATTTTAATAAACTAAACGTTTACCAAAAAACTTTAGTGAGAAAAATCGAAAAAACGAACTTAACGAACTAACGAACGAAATTAACGCCAAACATTCGGTAGAATTTATAGAATATTGTATATATATATATATATATATATATATATATATATATATATATATATATATATTAGTTACTTTTATCAACAATTTTTTAAAAATTTTCAATTTGATTTCACCGCGATATCGATGATGATGATTGTGACCTGACTGATTAAAGAGCATCAATGAAAATTTTTAAAATAGGATGGAGAATTTGTTATATTAGGATATTCGTAAATAAAGCTAGCAAAGTTTTAATATAAAAGCGCTTACAAATTTACGCATATTGGTTCAGCTTGGCTCGGCTTGGAATTGGATGTTAAGCAAGGTGTGGTCTCAAACAATTTTGAATTCTCCCCGAAAAATTTGAGCTGCGTGCTTACATATATAGCACTGATTACTGTTGCTTTTATAATGAATTTATATTATACATATATATCTAATAAGATTTTATGTTCATATAAAAAGCAATATGGCTGATTCAACCAGCCAGCCAGAAAGTTTCGAAGGCGTTCGTTCGATGACGTCAATTTAGAACGGTTAGCATCTTTGACGATGCAATCAGATCTTCAGCTGCTGACAAACTGTTTAGTGTGAGGCAGATTCTGGAGTTCCCAATACGGCGAGTTTTTGCGGCTTGACGATGAGATGAACTCTTTTCGCATAGAGTTTTATGCATCGAGAAATGGTGCAAGCTCTTTTTACAGTGATTTCTTTGTTGTTTTCATACGTTGCATTTGTTTTACTGTTTTTGATTTTTATGTTTGGTATCATAGTATCATTCATGGATATATATAATATAACCATGATATCATTGTCAAATAATATTCAAGAACATAGATATGTTACTAACGCTAAGTTTTCTTTTGGAAACTCGCCGGAAGTGCGATATTTCATATAAAATTTTGATTTAAGTTAAGTTTTTATCTGATTTTTAGTATTTTACTAGTTCGGAATGCTTCAAATGAACATGATGGACGATCCGGGAGGTCCTGCTAAAACTTTGTTAGCAGAGATTTTTTCAAATTTTGTTCTAATTCAAAATTTTTCCACCTAATCTGATCAGTGCAGATAAAAATACGTTGAAGAGCTTAACTTGCCGAATTAATTTTTCTATTTTTAATTGCGATTTTAATTTATTGGATCGTTAAATTTTAATAAATTATTAATCAAATTGGTAATAAATATATAAATAAGTAAATTAGATTATTTTGTTGTTTAATTTTTATAATATTTAATCAATGAAATAATAAAGATTCAAATTTGAAAATTTTCTTTTTAACATCAGGTACGTTGGCAATTTAGATGCGGCCGTTTCTGAGGAATTACTGTACATGTTGTTTTCACAGTTTGGCATGTGCATGGAGTGCAAAATTCTTAGAGAAGTGGGTCCACTTTTTCTTAGTTAATTTAAAATAGGATTTTTTCATTTTATATTTTTAATCAAAATTTATTTGATAATTTGATTTGAATAATTCTCAATTGGTTTTTAATTAATTTGATTCATTCATTTGTCAATTCATTATATTATGATTTATCAAAAATTAATCACTAATTTAACTGCTGTGGGGATAAAAATCTATGAAAAATATACCCACTCGCCCCCGCCCTAAAGACAGGTGACTTTCTTTTTCTTCAGTATACAAAAAAAAGATTATACAAAAATTAGGGTATAATGTAAAATTCATTTACAGATCGTAAACAATGATTGATTGATCGAGTTATAGTAGTACTGATCTATCTAATTATTGGTTAACATTCATTCATTTGGCGGTCGATTTCTTAGGAATTAACGATTAATAATAAAATTATTAAAATTAAATTCTTTTGTTATTTTTTTCTCTTTTTTTTCTTCACTTCACAATTCATCTAATTTGGAGATGAAATTGATACGATTTCACTTATAACAATTCACAAATTTTAGGCAGGGCACGATCCTTATGCATTCATCAAATATACTGAACATCAGCACGCTCAGGCAGCCCTCATGGCCATGAACAAGAGAAATGTGCTAGGCAGGGTTAGTTAGCCAGAATGAATTTTTTAATAATTGAAAATTAATTTACGCTAATTTATGTTAATTTATTTGCTTGCAGATAGCTACTTTTATAGGCATTTAATGGTTAACATTTAAAAAATCTTATTCCAGTTTTTTAGGTTATTTAATAAAATCTTTGATTTTCATGATCTTTGTGAATTTCTGTTTAGGAGTTAAAAGTGAATTGGGCCTCACATCCTGGGACGACAGCGAAACAGGATACAACGAGTTGGGATTTTGTTGTCGTCGTCGTTGATGTTGCAATGTTTTTGTGTTGATGTAGTTAGATCTATTTTTAGAATTTGTGATGTTCTTGTCATTGTGATACATATTCACATCATTACATAATATTGTATTATTGCTATTTCATCTATGCTATATCAGATCAATATTCTAATCAATTTATATTTTGTCTATGCTATATCGGGCCGGTATCATTATTAATTTATATTTTATCTATGCCCTATCAGATCATTATCACATATATGTCGGAGATTTGAGCCCTGATATTGATGTTGTCCAAATAAAAAATGCCTTCGTACCTTTTGGTGAAATATCGTAAGTGGTTGAGGATGATGGGGGTGAAGATGATGATGGTGGTGAAGATGATGATGGTGAAGATGATGATGGTGAAGAGGAAGATAAAAATTTTAATGATGATAATCATTTGTCATTCATTTATTCATTCATCCATCCATTCATCCCACCCATCACTGATTTCAGGGATTGTAAAATAATACGAGACCCTCACACGCAGATGTCGAAGGGCTATGCCTTTGTGTGCTTCGTTCGAAAAGAGGTTGCTACCGATTGATTTGATTGGTTGATTTGGTTTGATTGGTTGACTGGCTGGTTGGTTGATTGATTTGATTGGTTGGCTTTTGATTGATTAAGTGAATGTGTATTTGACAGATTTTTAAGTGCTGCTGGATTGATTAATTAATGGAGTGATTGATTGATTTATTTGATGGGTTGATTAATTGAGTAATAGTTGATTGGTTACTGATTATACATCAGTATTTTAAGTATTGCTAGATTGCTTGATTGATTGAGATTAACTTAGATTGATTGAACAACCAATAAATCAATCACTAAAATTGACACTCACTCAATCGTCAACCGACCAATCAGGACGCAGAGAATGCTATCGTGACCATGAATGGCCAGTGGCTCGGCGGTCGAACGATCAAAACCAACTGGGCCAGTGGCAAAGGAAACATGATGAACATCACCAAAGCCCCCGGAGGTAAACTATTCATAATAATTACTGCCACTACTAAACTGCTATTGCTACTGCCAATACTGTTTATATTATTATGTGTGTGTGTGAGAGGGGGAGAGAGAGAGAGAGAGAGAGAGAGAGAGAGAGAGAGAGAGAATATATAGTTGTGATTTTGTTTTTCTTTGTTTCTGAGACCTTGTGGCATTTTTAAAGTAAATGGCTTGGCATTGATTTTGTTATTGCTTACAATTTTATTAAATACCATTATAATCAAACTCCATCCACAATGAGATCATCTTAATATATTTTATATTCGTATATATTCGTAATATTAACATAATTTATTCGTAATAATGACATTATTAATGATAATTTATTCGTATAAAACAGGCCGGCCCATGTTAGATTACGATGAGGTGTACAACCAATCCAGCCCGACAAATGTTACCATATACATTGCCGGTGTACAGACAGGACTGACAGGTCAGCAGTCCCTTCATGAATATTAATTAGGCCCCCTTTATGGATTTTAATTAGGCTCCTTTATGAATATTGATCAGGCCCTTTCACTTTGGTAGAGCCCTTAATTTATATTAATGTCTTTCTTGCATACTTATTAGGTTCATTTTAATGCATCTGATAATTGGATGGATTAATTGATTGATATATGAATTGTGGATTGATTGATTGATTGATTATTGTAGACGAATTACTCCGAGAAACCTTCTCCCCATACGGCAACATTGTCGACATTCGAATATTCAAAGAGAAGTGCTATGCCTTCGTCAGGTATTTTAATATTAATATTATTTAAAATTATACTTATATTAATTACTCCAGATTATATTATATTTTATTATGTCATAATATTTAATAATTATTTAATATCCCAACCAACCAACCAACCAGGATGGATAAAAAAGAGTCGGCTTGTAATGGGATAGTGGGAGTACACGGAACCGACGTTAATGGCTATCCAGTCAAGTGCTCCTGGGGCAAGGACCCTAGCGATCTCCTGAACCCCAGCCCATCTCTCAACAGTAGCAACAGTAGTAGTATTACTGCCAGCAATAGCAACAACAATAGTATTGGTAGTCTGAAGATGGGTGCGTTACCCTCTAGTGGAGGGACAGCCCCCATGAATGCCGCCTCCCCATACGGGGCTAACTTCCCTCCCAATCCGGTTTTTTTTTTAATTTTTTTTCCTCCTTATCATTCCCATTTCACTTTGGAAATGTTTTTCTTGTCATTACTTCTTTAATTCTTATTCTATTCTTTTGTTTTTTTTTACTGTACTGTACTGTACTGTACTGTACTGTAACGTATTTTTCCTTCTCGAAGTCTAAAAATTTGTGATCGTATCATTGTAATCGTCTTCACCATCAATTCCATCATCTTCATCCTCATCTTCATCCTCATCTTCATCCCCATCTTCATCACCATCTTCATCCTCATCTTCCCAATCCGGCAAACAGTACAGTGCGTACTATCAGCAGATGGCCTACTGGCAGTACCCCCAGATGAACGCTGCTTACATGAACGCCTACAACCAGCAAGTGTATGCAGCTGCTGCAGCTGCTGCTAACTATCCTGGGTATGTCTTCTCTTTATGCCTGTGTGTGTACGCTTGCGTGTTTGTGTGTGTGTGTACGCTTGCGTGTTTGTGTGTGTGTGTGTGTGTGTGTGTGTGTCTTTTTTCTATCTCTTTCTCGATTTTTCTCTCATTGTCTTTTGTCTTTCTCTTGCTTTCTTCTACTTACTCCGGCTGGATTTCTCTTCGTTTCTCTCTCTCTCTCTCTCTCTCTCTCTCTCTCTCTCAATCTCTCTCAATCTTTCCTGATTACATTAGTTTCAAGTCATCAAATGTTTGATTGAATGATTGGTTGATTGATTGATTGATTGATTGATTGATTGATTGATTGATCAGATCACAGTGGCCTGCCAGCAACAACACAGCAAACAATGGTGGTAGTGGTGGAGGTGCTGGGGATGGATTCTATGGCAACAAGCAGTAGCTTGCTATTTAACTGTGGACTTGAATATATATATATATATATATATATATATATATATATATATATGTATATAGCGTGTGTGTGATATATCTGGATATATATATATATAGATATATATATATATTTATATATATATATACATGTATAGTTTGGGTTGGGGCTGGTTCTATTGGAAACATAAGATAGATATCATTTTATGCTATTATCTGTTTATGTTTGTCTCTCTCTCTTTCTCCCTCTCACTCTCTTTTTCTCTCACACACACTCTCTCTGTTATAAGTAAATGAATGATAATGATGATAGTGATTGTTATTATTTTTATTATTATTTCTCGATAAATCAATTTGTTAGGCTGGCTGTCCGTCTGCTAGGCTGTTGGTTTTATTGATTACTTTAATGATCATTATTATTATTATTATCTTTATTATTATTATTAATGTTTGTGTACATATGTTGTGGGAGTAAGTTGCGGTAAGGTTATGATAATGATGGCGATGGTGGTGTTGATGATGATTTTAGTGATTGAATGATTGGTTGGTTGGTTGGTTGATTAATTGATTGACTGATTGATTTTGATCTAAATTCTTTTGTTTTTGAAAATTTAATAAAATAAATAATAAGAATTCATTTGTTTGTCTTGTTCTTGAATAAATAAAATAATAAAATCGTTTTAAAAAAGATAATATTTATTCGCGTTTCTCTTATTAAATTAAAGAAAAATAATAGTAATGATAGATATCTATCAATCAATCCTATCAATCAATCATTCAATCCCATCATTCAATCCCATCAATCAATCAACCCTGCTCCTCAATATTATTGATAAATAACACGTGTCGCACACATACACGCATGCAAACACACACATAAACACACATCAAAATACACAGACACACTTTCTATATCTTAGACTCATTGTTTGATATTTCAATTCCAATGAAGCCCGTACTTTTAATATTTTTATTATTATTATTAATATTGTTATTATCATTATAATTATTATTATCGTTGTTGTTGCTATAATTACTATCATCATAATTATCGACGCCTTTGATGACGTCATCGTCGTAGCCATCTTTTTTAATCAGCTGATCTTCTGAGACCTGATTCTGACGTAATAATATTCTCTGTTGCTGGCGTTGTTGGCTGTTATGGTGAAAAAGGTTGTGTGCTGATTGGATGGCTACGGTCATGGCGTTTCTAGATGATGATGTTGGTTTAGCAGTTGCTGCAGTAGCTGTAGCAGCTACAGCAGCTGTAGAAGCTACAGCAGCTGTAGAAGCCACAGCAGCTGTAGAAGCCGTAGTAGACGCTGGCGATGTTTTTTGATTGAAGATGTAGTTTTTCGTAATCTTGTTGTTGTTGCGGGTGGCAAATTGGGCCATGCCATTATAACTCTGATCAGCATCTAGTTTCTCACGAACGCTGTCGTTATCAGTCTCATTTTCAACGAAAGACTCGTTGAAAAACCCCAAACTGCTTGCCTCACAATCGGTCTTACCATAAGTGGTGCTGCTGCTGCTGCTGTTGTTGTCTTTAAAAATGTCGCTAGAAGCAGTAGGTATCGAGTTTTCCGTAAGAGTAACACAATTTTGATCAATTTTGACAGCATTTTGGCCCTTTTTAATCAAATTTCGGCCCATTTCGACATCACAGCGGCTCTTTTTAAAATCACCAAAACCTGCATCATGCAAAATAGATACAGGTGCTTTCTCGTTATTTTTAGCATCACCGCGGTCATTATTTTCACCGCATGACGTATCTGTGACGTCATTGCCCGGGTCTTTTTGGTCCATTTCAGTTTCGGATTTTTGGATGGTGAACATGGGAATGATGGCGATGCCGTCTGGTTCATTTTCTGGTGAGAGGGTTGCCGTTGTGACAGTGGAGTCTTCTCTGTTCGGGAAGACTTCTCTTTTGTTTTCTTTCGTCGGTTGGACGATCTTGATAATTAGTGGAATGACTGAATGAACGACTGAATAATGAATGAGTGAATGAATGAAGGAACGAACGAACGAACGAACGAATGAAGGAACGAATTAATGAACGAACGAACGAACGAATGAACGAACGAACGAACAAACGAATGAATGAATGATTGATTGAATGAATGAATGAATGAACTAATGAATGAATTAATGAATGAATTAATGAATGAATTAATGAATGAATTAATGAATGAATTAATTAATGAATTAATGAATTCACTCCACTAACATTGTTATGAAGGGACAGACCCATGGACATCGAAGCAATGGCCGAAAGACCAGCAAATGCCGATGGCTTATCAGTAACTAAGAGGAGTGAATGAATGAATGGATGAATGAATGAATGAATGACTAAATAAATGAATGAATAAATGAATGAATGAATGAATGAAGGAATGAATGAAAGAATGAATGAACGAATGAATGACCGAACAAACGAATGAATGAATGAAAAAATTTGTTAACTTTTAACTGGATGAGTGAGAGTGATTTCATCGTCAGTGGCTCCCTTGCGCTTGCTCAAATTTCTCAAACTTTTCACTTCGGTCTGATGATGATAATGACGATAACAATGATGATAATGATGATGACGACGATGATGATAATGATGATGACGACGATGATGATAATGATGATGACGACGACAACGATGATGATGATGATGATCATTACCTCTAACAGCTGCTTATCTCCTGTCATGTCTTTAATCTGCGAATCCAGCCTTCTCCTAACGGCTTTCTGCAACTTTATCCTGAATTCCAGCCTCTTAATCTCAGTTACGACGATGCCTGGAGATAAAAATATTCCGGTGAATTATTTTCGGTGAATTGATTCACCACCTGAATGAATTATGGTGAATCGTTGCGAGGAATTATTTTCACTGAATGAATTAATTGGTTAGGGTGAGTTTTTGCGGTGAACTTTTTTGGTGAATTAATAAACACAAATCATGGCGAGTATCTGTGGTGAATTGTTTGATGAATTAATGAATAAATAATGGTGAATTGTTTGGTAAATTAATAAATCAATTATGGTGAATAATTCATAGTAAATTAAAAAATTGCTATTTAAATTTGGCTTTGTAATAAATAAAAAAATTGCTTAATTTTCATAGAAAATTCATTTATTAATTTATGCCTTCATTCATTCATGCTTTCATTCATTCACTCATCCATCCATTCATTCACTCATTCATCCATTCATCCATCCATCCATTCATCCATTCATTCACTCATTCATTCAATCACTCATTCATTCACTCACTGACCAACCATTAAACATCCTGACGATCTGCCAGAGAAGAAGTATGACAATTGCAGCTTCAGCAGCGCCGTTCATCAGTAGACCGCTGTACTTTATGACGTCCAAGATGAAAGATGCAATCGTGACAACACTGTCAATCACCTGTGTGTTTGTGTGTTTGTGTTTGTGTGTGTGTTTGTGTGTGTGTGTGTGTTCGTTCATTCATCTTTTCATTCACTCTCACACTCACACGTTCTCACACGTTATTCAACGAAATAAAATTTCATCATAAAAAAATCATGCACTTGAATTGAAAGTAGAAAAAACGTTTGTGTGTGTGTGTGTGTGTGCGTGCGAGTGTGTGTCCGTATGTTTCTGTGTGCATATATGTCTGTCTGTCTGTGTGTATTTATTTGTGAGCGTTTTCGTGTGTGTTTGTATGTGTATATGTAAAAGTATGCAGATAAGTTATTAATCCGTGACTGTTAATAAATGAAACATTTATATATATTATATATATATATATATATATAAAGGAATTGTCATCATCGTCGTCTTCATCTTCATCAGCATCAGCATCATTATCATCATCATAATCTGGTAATCATTATCATCATCGTCATCATCACCATACCTCCATGACTTTTGTGAAAAATCTCAGTCCCATGGCCAGCAGCCTCAACATGAGCTGTTGAATTAAAAGTTGGAGTGAAAAATATTTTTGATGAATGAATAAATGAATGGATGGATGGATGAATGAATGAATGAATGAATGGATGAATGAATGAATGAATGAATGAATGAATGAATGAATGAATGAATGAATGAATGAATGAATGAATGAATGAATGAATGAATGAATGAATGAATGAATGAATGAATGAATGAATGAATGAATGAATGAATGAATGAATGAATGAATGAATGAATGAATGAATGAATGGGTGGATGAATGAATGAATGAATGAATAAATGAATGAATGAATTAATGAATGAATTAATAAATGAACAAACGAATGAACGAAAGAAGAAAACTACAAACGTAAACAAAACTCACCACGACGACAAGAATGGCGAGAATGGTGATGCTCACGATGTTCAGAGTCATTTCAGCTTTTTCCAGCCTGGCTACACCATCGTTATGGTGTAGCCCCGTGTTTTCTCCATCCGCCCCAGCCCCACCCCCACCCCCACTACGTTTTCTCCGGTGTATAGAAGGTACTTTTGTACTGCCAGTAACACCAATATCTTGGTGTGAATTATCGATCGAATTGTTAGTATTCTCTCTTTTGGGTCCGTGTAGATCGGTATTTTGTGTGTCGGTATTGTGTGAACCGGTTCCACTAGCATGGTCATTAGTGATGGGGTGAGAACCGCCAGTAATGTTGTCGCAGTAACCCAGCCTCTCGTCCAGGTGTTGCATGATGTCATCCAGGTACATTCCGTTGTCAAGATGGAGCTTGTGGGTTAGGTGTCTGACTGTGTGGACCAGTGCCTCATTTGATTCGTTTTTTTCAACTGGTGAGTAATAATAGCAATAATAATAATAATAATAATATTATTATTATTATTATTATTATTGAGAGTGATTATTATTATCATTATTGTTGTTTTTATTATTATTATTTTTATCATCATCATTATCATTACTGTGATTGTTTTTTTGCTGGTTTGATAATGCTGTCGGAGGAAATAATTTTTTGTTCATCCATCCGTCTGTCCGTCTGTTTGTCACTCTCACTTTCTCAATCTCTCTCACTCTATCTCTCCCATTTTTTCTCACTCTCTCACTCTCACTCGAGAAGGAAAGAAAGAAATTGGGAGTGAAAGAGAGTGAGAGAGTGAGTGAGAGTGAGATAATGTTTATAAGTCAACATTATCTCACTCTCTCTCACTCTCTTTCACTCTCAATTTCTTTCTTTCTTTCTTTCTCTCTACCATTCCCTCTCACTCTTCTACATTCCCGAAAAAAAGAGCTCACTAAGATAGATGTAAAGTGTGATGATAATTTCGGAGATGACGACCAACACATCTGCTATGGCCAGGATGAGAAGAAGAATCTGGAAGGGGGTGAACTTGAGGGCTTTGTCGACCTTCACCTGCCATCTGTCACGATAAAAATTATTACGATTTACTCATTCGTTCATTTGTTTGTTCATTCATTTATTCATTTTTTCTTTACCCTCAACACACACACACACGCGCGCACACACACACACAATTAATAATAGCTCACACACACCCACTTACAAAAATATTTATTTACATATACACATATCAACACATAACAACACACACGTACTAACTCTATTCACATAAACTGACTGATGCTACACGTACTCAAAAACACACACATACAAACACACACACACATAGCAATAAAATAACAATAACAGTAAGAACCATAGACAAATAATAACAATAAAAATAACAGTAAGAACCATAGACAAATAATAACAATAAAAATAACAATAACAGTAAGAACCATAGACAAATAATGACAATAAAAATAACAATAACAGTAAGAACCATAGACAAATAATAACAATAAAAATAACAATAACAGTAAGAACCATAGACAAATAATAACAATAAAAATAACAATAACGGTAACACAAATAACAATAACATATCAACACATAACAACACACACGTACTAACTCTATTCACATAAACTGACTGATGCTACACGTACTCAAAAACACACACATACAAACACACACACACATAGCAATAAAATAACAATAACAGTAAGAACCATAGACAAATAATAACAATAAAAATAACAGTAAGAACCATAGACAAATAATAACAATAAAAATAACAATAACAGTAAGAACCATAGACAAATAATGACAATAAAAATAACAATAACAGTAAGAACCATAGACAAATAATAACAATAAAAATAACAATAACGGTAACACAAATAACAATAATAACAATAATAATAATAACAACAATAACAAGAATAATAATAAGTTGCGTTATGTGTTGATCCTGTTCTTGAATATTAGGCAAATATGCATTTGCATGTAAATATGCATTGGTTAAATTGAAAAAAAAAACAATAAAAATAATAATAATACTATTACTACTACAGCTTCTACTACCACTACTACTACTTCTGCTACTACTACTTCAGCTACTACTACTACTACTGCTTCTACTACTACTACTTCAGCTACTACTACTACTACTACTACTTCTACTACTTCTACTACTACTATAAAGATCATTAATAATAATATTAATAATAGTAATAACGAAACTGACCAGGCCAGGTTTTCTTAAATAAATCTCAAATAATAAAAAATTGAAATCTGAATTAATCTGAATTAAAATAATTAAAAATCCAATCAATCAATCTGGCACACACACACGCACACACACACACGCACACACGCACGCAGGCACGCACACACGCAACACACACACACACAAACAAACAAAAGCAGAAGGATTGTTTAACCAGCGATTAACTCTGACTGTGTAAAATGCGAAGAAATTTATAATATCATCATCAGTAATTGAATGAATGAATGAATGAACGAATGAACGAACGAACGAATGAATGAATGAATAACTGAATTAATTAATTAGTTAAATAAATAATATAGGATTAATGAACGACTGAATGTGCGAATGAGTTAATGAAGGAAGAAGAAACGAACGAATGAACGATTGATTGATTGTTTGAATAAATGAATTATTGAATGAATTATTGAATAAATTATTGAATGAATGAATGAATGAATAAATAAATAAAATAATACAGGAATGAAAAAACGAATAAACGAATGAAGAAAGATTGAATGTATGAAAAATTCTCACTACAGTAGCATTAACTAAAGAACTTTATTTACTAACCGTTTTCGCACCCAAGTTCAAATTCCCTTGTGATATTTTACACAAACACACGTAAAAACACATGCAAACACACGCACGCACACAGACAAACAAACACACACACAAACACACACTCAGACAGACACACAAACAAACACACAAACACACCCACACAGACACACAAACAAAAACACACACACATACACACAAACACACCCACACAGACACACCCACACAGACACACAAACAAACACACACACAGAGACAGACATACAAACAAACACACACACAAACTTGAATTTCGTCTTCTTTTCCTCGTTGATAACTTCCTCAATGATATCAGCGTCCATATCATCCTCCTTCAACTCCTCCGCAAAGTCTTTTCTCATCCATTTATTCTTGCTTACATCTCTGTATATATGCGTGTTTGTGAGTGTTTGTGTTTGTTTGTATGTGTGTGTGTATGTGTGTATGTATGTATGTTTGTGTGTTTGTTTGTATGTGTGTGTGTGTTTGTTTGTATGTGTGTGTGTATGTATGTATATGTATGTGTGTGTTCGTTTGTATGTGTGTGTGTGTTTGTATGTTTGTTTGTATGTTAGTTTGTTTGTATGTTTGTTTGTTTGTGCGAATCAAAAAAACACGAACAGCAGTTTGGAGACGCGCCTGATGGCGGGCATTTGATTCAACTTGTGGTGATGATGGTGCACGTCGTTCATCATTTTGTCGATGCTGATGTTGTCTTCACTGCCGTAGTAGTAGTAGTAGTAGTAGTAGTAGTAGTAGTAGTAGTAGTAGTAGTAGTAGTAGTAGTAGTAGTAGTAGTGGTCACAGCAGCAGCAGTTGTCGTCTTTGATTTAATGATGGCAGTAGAACCTCTCCTTTTCTAAGCAGGGCATTAGCTGAAATGAAAACCAGTCATTCATTCTTACATTTCATTTTAAATTCAACAAACAATTCATCTGCCTGCGGATGGTATATTCAAAAGCACTTAATTTTATATAAAAATAACAATAATAGGCACCTACTCTCTCCCATGCCTTCTCTCTCTCTCTCTTTCTCTCTCTTTCTTTCTTTCTCTTTATTTATATCCATACTTTCATAAAACAACAGACACTCGCACACGCACGCACACACAGAAACACACACACACACACAGTCACACACACTGATACTATTAATCATATTATTCTATAAACAATACTACTATTTATCATAAAAACAACAATGTAACTAAAAAAAACTACTGCTGCTACTACTACTGCTGCTACTACTACTGCTGCTACTACTACTATACTACTACTACTACTACTAATAATAATAATTGTATTTATAAAAATAATTTATTTGACGACATTAGAAACTCTAGCATTCCACTCTATGGATGGCTGGCATTATTCGTCGCCAACAGTTAAAGAAAGTATGGAAAAGAAGAAAAATAACAACCATTATTCTTATAACTATTATTATTATTATTGTTTATTATTATTATTGTTTATTATTATTATTGCTGTTTTTACATAGCTAGAGCTTTCTTCAATACCTCAATCATCACAGAAGCACTGTAGCTGCTTAAATGTAGTCTGAACTTAACAATGCGCGAATCTAACAATGAACAACAAGTGGTGAGGCACGGTAATAAGAGCAACACTCACAAAGAATCGAACTATAGTACGTAGTTCATAATTCTATATATCACGATACTATCATATATCAAGATACTATTATATGTCAAGATACTATTATATATCAAGATACTATTATATATCAAGATACTATATACACATATCAAGATACTATTATATATCAAGATACTATTATATGTCAAGATACTATTATATATCAAGACACTATATATCAAAATACTATATATATCAAGATAGTATTATATTTCAAGATACTATATATCAAGATACTATGTATCAAGATACTATATATCAAGATACTATATATCAAAGACGTCGAAATTTCCATTACCTAAGTGTATATTTTTGTGCTAAGTAGATCGAGTAATTTATGAATCTAGATATAGTATTACACGAGTCTAATAGCAAACTACTACTAACTTGATTCACTAAATCAAAGTCACATTCTTGAAGAGTCTTCTGTAAGACACAATGCTAGCTATTCATTCGATTCGAGATACTATACAATGGTAAACTCCATGGTTGTCATTATAAAATTAAAAATTTTCAAATTTTAAGAGAAAAAGATTTTATATTTGATGTATATTTGCTTTTTATAAGCTCAGCTCTCTTTTGGGGGATGACGCCTTAGTTTAAATATTTCAAAAAAATAATAAATATAACAGGAAATGTCTTTGTCTTCTTTGAAGATTGAAACTATTACATAAATTTGAGGCTAAATCTGGGTCGATTCAGATTCTAATATAAATAATATAATTATTTAACATTATATATATATATATTATAATTAATAGATAATAATATAATTAAATAAACTTGGATGATTCAATATTCATGTTGTTGGAGATGTTACCGTAAAACCAATTAACCATTCAGTTATCCAATCAAATAATCCACCAATTATCCAATTAACCAGTCAATTAATCAGCCAATTATCCAATCAACTAATCACCCAGTTAATTAAAAATTGAAAATTATTTAAATAAAATTTTAGATTTTCCCGGCCAGGTAGATTTCAATAGCTTGCAATAGGTTGTCAACGTAAGCATCCGGTCTGACGTAACTATGCGGTTCGTCTACCAGTTGTCTGAATGAATGAATTCATGAGTGAATGAATGAATTAACGAGTGAATGAATGAATGAATTAACGAGTGAATGAATGAATGAATTAACGAGTGAATGAATGAATGAATTAACGAGTGAATGAATGAATTAACGAGTGAATGAATGAATTAATGAGTGAATGGAAGAATGAGTGGCTGACCGAACGTGTGGCTGAGTGGATGAATGAACGAATATATCAGCGACTGGGTGAAAACGATTTAGTGAATGAATTATTGAATGAATGAACGAATTAATTAATTAAATAATTATAAATAATTAAATGAATAAATGAATGAATGATTGATTGATCAGTTAAAAACGCAAAATAATAATAGAAGCAAAACTATAAAAAAATATTTTTCTAAGGACACAAACAACTAATGTAAAAAAATATACTATCAAACCAAAACCTCCCTAAAAAAAATACACATCTCTACACATTCCTAAAAAGCACATCCCCAAATACGGACCTATACTTTCCGGTCCTAACTTGGACCCCCTTCAATCCGGCCTGCTGTGCACCTTGGACATCCCCAATTATGTCATCCCCCACCATCACCGTCTGTAGTGTAATTATAATTTATTATTATTGTTATTATTATTATTATCACTATCATCGTTATCATCATCATCATCATCATCATCATTGCCATTAGCAATAGCAGCAGTCGCATCATTATTCTCATTATCATTATAACTACCACCATCATCACCATCGTCGTCATTATCATTATCATCATAAATATTATTATTATTATTGTTATTATTATTATTTGAACCTCTTCCGGTTTCAGTCCCATGCTATTCATGGCCGCCGTGAAGAACTCCTTCGAAGGCTTCCCAATGCAAACGCTCTGCTTATCTGTCGCGAACTGTTATTTTTATTGTTGTTATTATTGTTGTTGATGTTATTACGATGTGATGATGAAAGTTATTATTATGATGATGATGACGATGATGACGATAATGATGATAATTACGATGACGGTAATGATAATGATAATGAATATAAAGACGATGATGATGATGATGATGAAGACGATGATGATAATGATGACGACGATGATGATGACCTCTAAAGCTTTGGCAAAAACTCCACAATCCAGAAACATACCCTCTGTCTCTTTATAATACTTCCTGTATGGAATGAGTGAGTGAACAAATGAATGAATGAACGAACGAACGAATGAACAAATGAATGAATGAACGAATGAATGAATGAACGAATGAATGAAAGAACGAGACAAACAAACGAACGAACGAACAAAGGAATAAATAGATGGAAGAACAAAACAATGTATAAACAAACAATTAAATTGAAAACGAACAGATAAAAGACATATTTATAAATAATTATAACTAATAAGAATAATAAAATTATTATTATTATTAAAATAATAAATATCATTTTTATTATGACGATTCATAATTACCCTGTTCCCAATGTAATGATGGCAGAATCTTTCTTATCAGTCAGCATCTGGAAGGCTTTGTTGAGGTTCTCGTAACTGAATCTATGTTTGGCGTCGCCTTCATTGATTGGTTGATTGATTGGCTGGTTGATTGGGTTGTTGTTTGATTGATTGGTTGGTTGATTGGTTGATTGGGTTGTTGTTTGAATGGTTGTTTGATTGGTTGGTTGTTTGATTGGTTATTTGATTGGTTGGTTGGTTGACCGAATGGTAAATACATTAATTACTTAGGGTAATTGATTGATTCTTTATTCTTGATTCTTCAATCGTTTTAATTCATTCATTCAATCATTCATTCCTTCCTTCTTTCATTCATTCAACCATTCAATCTTTCCTTCTTTCATTCATTCAACCATTCATTCATTCGTTCAGTCATTCATTCATTCATTCGTTCGTTCATTAATTAATTAATTCATTCATTCATTCAACCAATCAACCAACCAAGGACAACACAGTTCGGATCGCTCTGATCAAACTCAGCAAACTCCTGGTCGACACCTAGAGAGAGAGAGAGAAAAAATTACCACCACCACCACCATCATCATCATCATCATCAGCAGCAGCAGCAGCAAAACTATCATCATCAATATCACCATCATCATCACCATCGCAATCATCATTATTATTGTCATAATTATCGTAGTAAATATTATGATCCTAAATAATATTTACACGGATCAACCAAAATGAAAGGCCTGTATCCGTGCTTCCTCAGGTAATTCTTAACCACCGGAATGGGAGTGAAAATTTCTCCCGGTTTTACGTCAAATCCAAACTCTAGCAATCTTTCCAGAACTTTTTCTGGGGTTTTTGTCGACGTGTTACTGCAGAATCTAAACGGGATTCCCGCCTTTCTCAATCTGTTTGGTTGGTCGGTTGGCTGATTGGTTGGTTGGCTGATTGATTGGTGGGTTGGCTGAGAATTGAATGAATGAATGAATAAATGAATGAATGTGTGAGTGAACGAACGAACAAACAAACGACAAATGAAATCACATAAAATCATAATCACAAAAATCAATATAATATCACACGTGTGCGTAAAAAAACCATCGGCGGACTCTTTCAACACAACAGCACAACACAAATGCTAGCATTACCATTAGTATTAGAAATAAAATTTGTACAGTAATAATAGCTACAATAGTAGTAGCAATAACTGTATATAGAGGTAGTACAGACGTGTAGTTGCAGTAGCAGAAGTAGCTGCAGCAGTAGATGTAGCTACAGCCGTATCAGAAGCTGCAGAGTAGCCACAGTGTACTATGTAGGAACACAATGCAATAATCATTCAATCGATCGTTCAAACAATAACGACGCGAGACTTATTTAATTATAATTTAAAACAACGATAATTTACGACATCATCGACTATTGTTCTTGTTATTAGTAGTATAAATGTTGTTGTTGTTGTCGTAGCTCAAACGACAAAGAGAAAAATAGCGCGAAGATGTTTCAATTTTTCTGCTAAATTTACGGCCCGATAAAACGGCTCTTTAATCCCTTTCCGGTCTAAACAAGCGATCAAACTCATACTACATTATCAACACCTGATTTCATTCTTAAAACACACGGCCCAAATCAACGACCGGGTCATATTGTGCACGCACGCACAAACACAACAGCGGGACAAAAATTTTACAGCAAAAACGGAGATTACTTTGACACAGCTTCAACCGAGCCGTCAATGAGGCTAAAGGTTTGGCCACAGTTGTAGGCCACTCCATACACATCCAATAGGAATCCTTTGACGCCTTTGGTCCAGTTAGTACTGTTACTAACATTACTGTTACTACTTGCGCCATCATTACAACTACCACCCCTACTAGTCATAGTATTTATGCTATTTGAAATTGTTGCAGTAGTTGTATTCTTGGTAGTAACTGTAGTAGCAGCAGCAGCAGCAGTAGTAGTGGTGGTAGTAGAAAAGAAACTAGTATTTTTTAACAAATTACAGTTTGCCGTGGTAGTAATGGTAGCAATAGTATCCAATGTTCCAGAAATACTTTTAGTAGTATAACTCTTAACGGTAGCAGTAGTTGTAGTAGTAGTGATGTAAGTATTAAATTTGTTATTAAGTATTTTTGAAATTTTAGTAATGTTTATTAATCTAGTTTGATCTATCTTTGCTAAATTTAAGCCTGTGTATATATATATATATATATATCTTTGCTAAATTTAAGCCTGTGAATATATATATATATATATATATATATATAAGTTTATTTTGAATTTTAATAAACTAAACGTTCATCAAAAAACTTTAGTGAGAAAAATCGAAAAAACGAACTACAAACATATTAACGCCAAACATTCGGTAGAATTTATAGAATATTGTAAAAATTATGGTCTATTACCAACACACACACATATATATATATATATATATATATATATATATATATTTGTGTGTGTGTGCGTGAATACTAAATAATTAAAATTATAGATTTAATAATTTATTCAAAAACTAAAGAGCCTGTTAAGTTGAACTGAAGGCTCATGCCATATGTGTGGTCAATTTCAATTTTTATTATCATTACATTAGACGACTTTTAATAGAAGCCCAATAAATTTGGGGGAGGGCCCATGCCAAATGACCTCATGGTACCCCCCCAACTCTTCCAAGGCCTGATAAATAACATCTAATTTTAATTTAATAATATAGAAAGAGATTTATGAAAAACAACAAAATCTCAAATCAAATTCAAATCACATCCAATCAAAATCAAATTCATTGTTATCTAATTTTCTAACTCAGTAAAAATCGCAAATTAATTGACATTTTTTACTCTAAGTTTAAATTTGATTGAATTTGGATTTGTTTTATTTATTATTTTATTAATTTAATATTTAATTAATTAATAATCAATAATGAATAATTAAATATAAATTTTAATAAAAATAACAAATAACACTTTTAAAAGAACAACTTTTTTGTAATCTCGGAGACGGCAAAGTGGTTTTTCCAGAAATATTTATTTATAGTCAACAGTTTAAAGAAACTCATAAGCTCCACCCACGGTGCAACTAATAAACTAAATACAGCCTGCATGTTCGTTGGTTAGCGACAGTATAATGTAAACAGCCGAAATACTAAAAAAAGGAAAACTGTTTTTTGAGTAATTATTTTTAAAATGTTATTGAATTTAAAAAAAATAAATAAAATGTAAAACGCTTGACAATGCAATCTACCCTTAAACGATTTTGAATCAAAATATAACCTGAATTTTATGCTTTGTACCATATAATTAGAATAAATATAACGGCCTTCGCTCATTTTTGACGGTCGAACAAGGAGCTTACTTCTGGAGGAAAATTGGAGGGTGATTTTTTTATCGCCCAAGTCAAAAGTTACGATCGTATATTTACTAATTTCGGAATATTGCTTTTATTTAAAATTTCAAAATGTTTTAAAAGGTGATACTAGATGCTGTTTTGGGATAGATATTGCTGTATGACGGTTAAGTATCTTTTTGCATTTTAAATAAAAAAAATTTTTTGTGAACCACCAACAACACAACACTAAACGACGATTAATTAGTAATTAAATTACTAAACTCTAATAATTAAACTAAAACTAATCTCTACTGATTCTAATTACTAATTGAAATAAATAACAGATAACACTAACGAACATTAACAGATTAGACTACTAGAAACTACCAACCACTACACTAATACATACTACTACTACACTAACTACTAACAGCACTTGTTCCTAAGATCCTAAATTCTATTGCTTGATTGGTTTTAAAATTTTTATTTACAATGCTTAGGTCTGGGAATAAAAAATATACTAAATTAAATAAATTAATATATTAAACAACTTATCAATCAATTTTATAAAATAAACAATTCAAGCTTCAAACTCTCCAAGCTAGCTTGCAATTTAATTAAAATTTACAAACTAAATTTTTTTTCATTTAATGTTTTACAAAATATTCCTCATTCTTAAATTGTAGTACATGTTGTTATTAAATTTATTAAAGATAATGTGTGATTCCAGTGATTCATCAATCCATGACTTGTTAGATCATGATCATTCAGTTTTAAAGAATCCCCATCACCATAACCAATGAGGTTTGTAAAAATTGTACTTTTAATTTATTATATTTTATGCACTTAGAATGTTGTGTTATTAATTATTATCATTAATTTATTAAATGCTGTGCATACCTATGGCAAGTAAATAAAATAATTAAGCATAGAAGTAGCCACAATCAAATTAATTTATATAGGCATGAGTATAATTTGGATAATAATAATTAAAAATATCGGTATCATTGAAAATGGATAAAGTCATAAATAGCAAAATAAATCATACATTGCTAAAAATAATAGTTCCAATAAGATTTTGCCTTACACCTACATCTTTTTTTCATTCTTATATTATAATAAATGTTTGTTATCAAATATATCAAGGATTGATTTCTCAATCCATGACTAGATTGAATGTCATGATCCTACAGTTCCAGAGGATCCCCATCACCATTAGTCAATAAGGTTTGTAGAAATCACCCCAGGCATACCATCAATGTTTTGTAGCCACCTTTTAATATAGTGTTAATAAAATGACATTGAGAATAGTTATTTAAAACAATCTTATTAAAATTATTGAACAGGTATGACAAGATTACTTTCTTAATGTCCTAGTGTGAGGAAGATGAAAGCCATTTGTCCAAATATAATCATATGCCTTATGCCCATACAAATGCAGTGTCAACGTGAATGATTTCACTATGCAACAAGTTTTTTGCTACTCAGACTTTGTTAGTTGTTCTAGGGTAATTTGGGTATGCTGATTACAAATCTGCTATTCTTTTTGTCATAGGACGTCAGGTTATAAAGTTACAGCTAAAAGATTGTGAATTTTAGGTGCTAAATTAGTCCATTTTCAGCTGTGCTCAAGAATACTCAAAACCAAAACATATTCATAATCTGATTGTTTTTTTATTTATTTAAATCAAAATTATTACATAGGTAATGTCTCAAAGTTAAATTAATAAAAATAATTTGTCGATAATGATCTTTTGCGCTTATATTGACTTTCACTTTCACGCTGTAGAAACCAACAGAAATCCCCCATCATGTTACTATCAAAACGACCCTGATACCGTTGTTCCATAACAGAGATTTCTTGATGGAATCTTTCTCCCTGTTCATCACTGACAGCTCCTAAATTGGCAGGAAAGAAGCTAAGGTGGGAATGGAGGAAATGGATTTTTAGGGACATTCTACAACCCATGTTTTGGTATGCCATTATGAAGTTTTCTACCAAGTTCACATAGTCTTCTGATCTGTGGTTTCCTAAAAAATTCTGAACCAGTGCCACAAACGCTTCCCAAGCCAGCAACTCCACAGGCTCTAGTTGTAATTTGAAATTTGGGTCACGAATAACTTCACGTATCTGTGGTCCAGTAAAAACTCCTGCAGCTATCTTTGCGTTTGTGAGAGTGGTTTTGAATTTATCTTTAAGATAAATAAATCCTTTCGAATCAGTAGGTAGCGCCTTGACAAAGTTTTTAAATATTCCTAATTTGATATGAAGAGGAGGAAGGAAGATTTTGTCAGGATTCACCAACGATTTGTGAAGAATGTTAAATTGTCCAGGTACCGGATCAATTCTCGCAGGCCAGTCTTTGACGAGATAGTGATTTGCATCATCACGACTGTTCCACAGACACAAAAAGCACATGTGTTTCGTGTACCCCAATTGCATCCCAAGAAGAAGAGCAACAACTTTGAGATCCCCACTGATATTCCAGTTGTGATCAGTGTACTTTATAACTTTAAGAAGTGTCTTCATAGATTCATATGTTTGTTTCATACCCACTGCATGGGCTACAGGAATGGATGGTTTAACATTTCCGTTATGTAGCAGAACTGCTTTTAGACTGACTTTACTAGAATCAATAAACAGACGCCAATCTACAGGATCATACTCATCATCCAATTTTGTCATTAATCCAGTAATGTCTACACAGTAACATATATTGTCCTCTTTGTTGTAAAATTTTGCAAATTCGGTGTGCCGGTCACGAAAATGGGATATTTTAGTTCCTCTGTCCAGTAAATTCCATTGCTGTAATCTAGACCCCAGGAGTTCTGCTTTATTTTTAGTTAACCCAAGGTCCCTTACCAGATCACTAAGTTCTCCCTGCGTGATCATGTGAGGTTTATCTTTGTCGTAATCTGGTTTGTATTCAACATCAACCTTTTCATCACCACTTTGTTCTTCTTTGCTATAAAGAACAGTGTCTGTAGGAGGAGTTGGAACAGGATATTCAACACTGTGGGGAACTGGTTTTATTGCAGATGAACAGTTAGGGTACACAATTGATGCTTTGGTTTTCTTAGAATGTCCTTGTATATTTGTCATGCAAAAGTAGCAGTCTGAATGGTGATCTCTTGGCTCACGCCATATCATTGGAATGGCAAAAGGTATTTGCTTTCTTTTCCCATTTAACCATTGAGTGAGACCTACGTAGCAAACACTGCAGCAAATATGTGGAGCCCAGGTTCTTTCTTGATCCGCCACCTTTACTCCAAAGTATGGTAGTAGGCAATCTTTATTCTGTTTGACAAATTTGGTGAACGTTTAGTACTAACTTTAACTTTAGTGAGAAAAATCGAAAAAACGAACTACAAACATATTAACGCCAAACATTCGGTAGAATTTATAGAATATTGTAAAATATATATATATATATATATATATATATATATATGTAAAAATTTAAAAAAAATAAGCGGTTTTTTGAAGAATTTTAATTTTTAAATGTTAATGACTTTAAAATTGAAAAACATGAATGAAAAACGTTTAACGAAGAAAAGACTAATTAATAATTTTTAATGTTATAGTTCAATTTCTAAAACTAAATAGATCTGTCCGCCGATTATGAAGTAAAAATCATGGAATTATATAACTGGAAGCGCCCTACCAGCATTTTAACATTGAAAATTTTTTTCAACGGCAAGTTACCTCTGGAAGCAAGTTTCTAAAAATTAATAATTTGTTTTAAAAGTGAAACTATCTTTTTAACAGATACGTCTAAAATTTTGTTACACATTTTGTAATGTATCATATTTTTATAACTTTATAGAGGTTTTGTGGTTTTTCTAGTAAAAATTGGTTTAAAATTTTTATTTTCAATTTTTATTATAAGCTTTTATTATTTAGTTTAACTTTTAGTTGTACCGTGGGAGGAAGTTATGAGTCTCTTTAAACTGTTGACTATAAATAAATATTGCTGGAAAAACCACTTTGCCGTCTCCGAGATTACCTAACTTTTTAACAAATCTATAAACTATTCTAAATTAATCAAAATAAAATTTATTTGATTAAATTAAACGAATAAAACTATTTATTTAATAAAACAATTTAAATACAGTTTTATAACAAATTCACTTTTAATGTTAAAAGTGAACTTATTTATTGGCTTAGCCATTGAGTTTCGAGATAAGACTTGCAATATGATAAAACTACTTTCTCAAGCTATAACCTACGAGATTAACCCAAAACTTATAAAAATTATATTAAAAATATTATTATTTATTTGAAAAAAAATAAATTGATCAAACAGAATTTATAAATTGTTTAAAAAACCCTTCAAAAATTTTGATATTATTATACATCAAGATAAGCTAACAGCAATTCAGCCAAATTAGCTGAAACCTTACATACACCTGTATTGCTTTCATTCTGAATTTGTTCAAAATTATTCCTATTATTATTTAAAATATATTTATTAACATTTAAAATGATTTTATTATGAATAATAATTGAAGTTTAATATGCAAACTGGCGAATTATTTTAGGAATTTTAAATAAATTAAAAACTTTTTAATAAATAGCTATTAACTAAAAAACGAATCCTATTGTTATTTTAGTAATTAGCTCACAAATTTAAGCCCATATTATGCGTAAGTAATCATTTACAAAAATATATATTAAATTTCAAATTTATTTGTTCTTAATTTAATTAATTTCTTAATTATATATAGCATCTTGCAATGATTGTCTGGGTAGAACTCCTTATGGATCACTCATTGCTACTTTGGTCACTTGCTTAGGTTGGTTAGTTGGCTGATTGACTGGTTGGCCAGTCTCTGGTTTAGTCAATCAACAATCATTCATTAAAGAATCAATTTTGATTCAATTAGTCAATCTGTCGTTTGTTCAATCAACCATGTTTCAATCCATTAATCAATTAATCTGTTATTCAATCATTTATTCAATCAACTAATCAGTCAATTAACCAGCCAATCAACTAGTCAACCAATCACAAAACAATTTTTTAGGAGTAGGATTATTTTGTGGAACTGGCTACAGAGCAGTTGATCTTACGTTGAATGGAATATTCAGTCGACTCTACAGTGTCAACATGCCATGGTCGGTTGTGATGATGGTGATGATGATGATGATGACTGTCTTGTTGGCGATGATGATGATTGTAATGATAATGTTTGTAATAATGGTGGTGATGATTGTAATTATGATGAAGATGATGATGAATGTGATGATGGCATACATCTGCAACACACTATCATCACCCTGGCAGACAAAACCAAAAACACTAAATAAAAACACACACACGTCCGCAGGTTAAAAAGTATCCAGGTTGTATTTTTTATCTTTGGTCTTGTGATGGGCATCTACATGATCGTCTTACTTGCTTTTGGTTTCTTGGCTACTGGGTTAACGCGGGAAAATTTATTTTCAAATTTCAAATCGGCCATTGGCGGGCGTATTTTTGCCGCGATTGTTAGTCAAGATGATGATCCATTAACTTAGTCATTTATTCGTCCACTCACTCAATCACTTATGCGTTCATTCCTTCATTCAATCATTTAAATGATAATAACGACATTCAAACTAATCTTGCTTTTCTTAGCGAAATTCCGTCAAGCCATTCATTCATGCATTCATTCATTCATCCATGCATGCATTCACTCACTCACTCGCTCACTCATTCATTCATTCACTCAATCATTCATTCATTCATCCAGCTGATGGGGACGACATACGTACTGAACACAATCTGGTTGGGCATAACATTCTTGAGTGCAGTTCCTATTATCATCTACATAATGGTCAAATCCATATGTGTGAATGAAATCGAACAGAGGGACTATTGGTTCTTCGATAACTACTGCCTCAATTTAACTAGATTTGGTTGGTTGGTTGGTTAGTTGGTTGGTTAGTTGGTTGGTTGGCTGGCTGGTTGGTTAGTTGGTTGGTTAGTTGGTTGGTTGATTGGTTGGTTGGATGGATGGTTGGTTAGTTAGTTGGTTGGTTAGTTGGTTGGTTGGTTAGTTGGTTGGTTGGCTGGTTGGTTGGGTGATTGGTAAGTTGGCTGGTTGGGTGATTGGTTGGTTGGTTGGGTGATTGGTAGGTTGGCTGGTTATGAATAAATTAGTTAATGAACGATGAAAAATCATTTTAAAAATAAAAACGTACATTTTTTGTTAACTCATAATTATCCATAATAAAATAATGTAAATAATAATGAATATAGTAATAATAACAACAACAACAATAATAATAACTTTCCAAATCGTGATTTTTGGTACAAATATAATGTGGTATTTTTGGTGTACCAGGTATATACAACAATAACTCTGGATACCTTGTAGAAGGCCTATGTGACGAAATTGATCTAAGTCAATTCTGTGAATACGTATGTCTTTGTATAATTATTTGTGTTATAATTATTACATATATATTATATTATAATTATATTATATATTATAGTCATAACTATTGTTGTTGTGGCTGCTGAAGGACAGGCGTTTTTTGATTGTCGAGTCATTCATTCTTTAATTCACTCGTTCGTTCATTCATTCATAATTCATTTATTTTTTCATTCATTCGTTCGTTCCTTCGTTCACTCATTCTTTCACTCACTCACTCATTCACTCATTCATTCATTCATTCATTCATCATCTCAGGTATATGACGCTGGACCTATGTACTGCTTTGCCTATATCGGCTCTTTCTTCATAGTCGTCGGTTTAGTTAGTAACAAAGTAAATTCACACACACACACACAGGCACACACACACACACGCACGCACGCACACACAAACATACATACAAAACCGACAGAAAATCTTTTTAATATCATTGTCTTCAAACTACCACCGAATCAAAACCTCGCGGACAATGAGAGAGTACAGGAGCTACATCGACCTGACGGAGCCGAATGCATCATGATGATGATCCCATTGCGGTGATGATAATGATGATGTTGGTGGTGATGGTAGTGATAATGATGATGTCATTAACGATGATGATGACGATGGTGACGATGACAATAGCGATAATGTTAAACAAAAATACAAAAATTAATTTTTTTTATTCTTATAACTTTGTTTTATTTACAAGTTGATAGAAGAGAAACTAATCGGTGTTCTCTGTTTGATAGTTCTGTGCTTTTATAAAATAATCATAATCAATAATAATTATAAAAACAACGATCACTTATTCATTAATGCACTTCAATCGTTCATTCATTCATTCGTTCGTTCATTCATTCACTCATTCATTCACATTCACTCATTCATTCATCATCATTAAACCGGACGGAAACAGTCAAGGATCTATATCCAGTTATTTCCATCAAAATCATCCGCATTTCAAATCGCGAGCTAAAATTTACTCTCAATCATCAAATCCCGACAAAATCACTCATTCACTCACTAATTCATTCATTCATTCTCTTACTCATTCATTTCCTCGCTCATTCGTTCATTCGTTCATTCATTCACTCATTTATTCACATCATCGTCATCTTTGTCCAAATTTTCGCACGCTGGGAGTCACAATATATCCCGTTATATCCATCACAATTTTGAATTGCCGCCAAAATCACTCATTCATTTCCTCACTTATTTATTCTCTCATTCATTCATTCATTCATTCTCTCACTCATTCATACCTTCACTCATTCATTTTATCACTCATTCATTTCCTCATTCATTCATTCCCTCACTCACTCCTTCATTTCTTCATTCATTCATTTTCTCACTCATTCATTTCCTCACTCATTCATTCCCTCATTCATTCATTTAAACACTCATTCATTCCCTCACTCATTCATTCCCTCACTCACTCATTCCCTCATTCATTCCCGTCGTCGTCGCCATCTTCGTCCTTATTTCCTAACGCTGGGAGTCACGGCTCCGGATCTGTATCCGGTTATATCCAGGAGGTTGGCCTTCGACGTCCAACCGGATAGATCCCTCTTCTCGCCGAACTTGATCTCATAGGCCACCTCTGCTATTCGGGAGTAGACAATGATGACGCCCACCACCTAAATTTTTGGTCGGTTGGTTGGAAAGGTTTTGTGTATTATTATTATTATTATTAGATTAACACTATTATTGTTATTTATATTATTATTATTATTATTACTTTCGTTGTATTATTGATTATTATTATTTTTATTATTATTATTAGATTAACACTATTATTATTGTTATTATTATTTATATCATTATTATTATTACTTTCGTAATTGTAATTATTGTTGTTGTTATTATTATTATTAACGTCCCAGATAGACTTACGTTGATTATGGTCCTCACCACCCAGAAGATGAAGGTGAATACGAGGTAGCCGAGTCTCTGAATGGATTGATGGGTGAATGGATGAATGAATAAATGAATGGATAGATAGATAAATGAATGGATGAATGAATGGATGGATAAAAGAACAAACACAAAATTATTAGCGAAAGAATCCTTAGAATAATATGAATATTTATAGAGATGTGTTTCTAGTTTGAATGATCAAACGAACGAGCGAACGAACTAATATATGAATATTGAATGAATGAATGAATGATTGGAGGAAGAAATAAAGGAATTACTAACAAAAGTGTTATAAGCATAGTATGAATATTTGTAGAGCTGCGTGCCAAGTTCGATTAAAATGTAACAGACGAATATGCCAAGGTACCATTTCGTAATATTAAACTCATAGTAGGTCGGCTGTTATTATTATTATGATGTTAATATTATTATATTATAATATTATTGTTATGTTATTATTATTATATTATAATATTATTGTTATGTTATTATTATTATATTATAATATTATTATATTAATATTATTGTTGTTGTTGTTGTTTTTTGTTAAACCATCATCTTCAGAAACAACAACAACATCGTCATCAGTGATAACGACATCACATTAATGACAACAACATCGTCAACTACAACAACAACATCAACCTCATCATCATTATCATCAACGACCTCATTATCAACAACATCATCATCAACAACAACATCATCATCAACAACAACATCATCAACAACATCATAATCATCAACAACAGCATCATCATCATCAACAACAACATCATCATCATCAACAACAACACCATCATCATCAACAACATCATCATCATCAACAACAACATCATCATCATCAACAACATCATCATCATCATCTTACAAAAATTTTAATGGCCACAATTAAGAGGCTAGACATGAAGATGGCGATGAGGTGTGCTATGAACATCAGTATACTGCAAGCCAGCCATCCTGATAACGATGTCAATTATTATTATTATTGTTATTATTATTATTATTAGTAGTAATAGTAGTAGTAGTAGTAGTAGTAGTAGTAGTAGTAGTAGTAGTAGTAGTAGTAGTAGTAGTAGTAGTAGTAGTAGTAGTAGTAGTAGTAGTAGTAGTAGTATGATTCAATGGAAGAACGATCAAATAAAGAAACAAACGAATGAATGAATGAGTGAGTGAATGAACGACAAAACAAGTGAAAGAATAAAAAAACATGAATGAATAAATTATGTTAATTACCCTCCCAGGCATGGGCCCTCCACGACGATTCAAAGCCGCCTTTGATTTCGAAATTTCCGGACGGGTCCCAAGCTATGATGTCCAGGAGTTCCAGTAGAGAAGCTACAGTGGCCACGACCTTGACATTCATAATAATAATAATAATAATAATAATGATGAGGAGGAGGAGGAGGACGGTGGTGATGACGATACCGGGGAGAATGGCGATAGTGACGATGATTATGATAGTTGTAATGATGAATGAGGGATTTGGCTGAAGAGGCTAACTAAATGAACTTGAAAACGAATAAATGAATGATTGAATGAATGAGA